GTCTTCAGCGATCGTATCAGGGAGGTGAGCACACAATGATATGATTTTTTGTTCTTTGATGCCTGATAACTGATCCCTTCAGCACCTCATGATCACACAGGCTGGTGTGCTTCTTCCATGTGAGCTTTGTTGCTTCTGAGCTAGATGGCCGCTTGTTTATCTTTTTTCTTCTTGTTAGCAATTTTATTCAGTTTAATTGACATATAATAAACTGCATATATTTAAGGTGTATACCTTGCTGTTTTGACACATTTTCTACCCATGAAACAAACCATCACACTTGAGATAGTGAAATAACTATCAACCTCAAAGTTTCTTCACAAAAACGTGTTAAGGGTAATGTAATAATCACCTTATAGAAAATATATTAGTTTAAAATTAAATAAGCAAGAAGCCAGGCATTGTCAATATGTAACAAGTAAGAAATAATCATTCTCCCAACTACCCTGGTTAGCTTCTGAGAAAGCTCTTTAACCTTAATGAAAGAGCCACACCGTCTCCCAGGGAAATGGAGTTCATCTCGGGCCTCAGCTATTTCTTGTGTTTAGCTGAGGAGAGGAAGACGGGAACAAGATCTTGCACATAGTAGGGGTTGACAATCTGAACGTCTCTTTCCCTATAGACCTTCCTAGAGCCTGTCCCCAGGGCCTCACCCTTCTTCTGCAGGGAACACAGTGCACTGGATGTCCCCAGGAGAGGCTGAGGGTTCCCACGGGAGATCTGCTTGGAATGTTAAGAACATGGCCTCGTCCCACAAGATTCTCTCTTGTCTTTTGAGTAGAGACCGTCTTTCCCAGGTTGATCTTTAACTTGGTCCTCAATTTGTCTGTGACCTATCATTTCACCCAAGGGCGGAAACCCCAACCCTCCAGATGCACTACCGTTGGGTCCGTTCCGACTCCAGCGACCCGATAGGGCAGAGAAGAACGGGCCCTGTGGTCCTTGGGACTGTAACTCTTTAAAAAATCATTTTACTGGGGGGGGGCTCATACAGATTTTATAAAATCCACAACTCAACTGTACTAAGCACACTTGTACATAGGTTGCCATCATCATTTCAAAAACATTTTCTTTCTACTTGAGCCCTTGGTGTCAGCTCCTCTTTTTTCCCCTCTCACCCCCACCTCCCGCCCTCACAAATCCTCGATCAACTATATATTATTATTGTTATCTCACATCTTACACTGTGTGTTATCTCTCTTCACCCACATTTCTATGGTTCGTTCCCCTTGGGGGTGGGAATGGGGAGTTCCTAGCTTTTTACAAACACAAAATTTTATAAGATCATTAAAAAAAAAAAATGTTCCTTTTTTCCCTCTGAACATTTAAGGAAAATATGATTAGAAAAGACTATTTTCCCGATACAAAGAAGAAGAAATACCCTGGAATTGATAGTGGTGATGGCTGTGTAACTCTTACGGGTGCAACTGAACTAGTGAAATATATGTGCACTGTCTACCAGTGACACTGTTAACAATTAATAAACTAATCAATTAAAAAAAAGAAAAGTCTTTAAAATATATGTTCCTTTACAACAACAAAAATGCTGACTGGGATTCTGAATATTTACAGTGCTACTAGAATAGAAAGCTAACAAGTAGCAACGCATCCTGAAGCTTCTCTGTCATCAGCTCCCATACACTGGGAGCCCCGCTGTTGGCCGGAGGCCCCTGCTCAAGTGTCCTATGAGCTACTGCAGATAAACCCGGCACACACAGTATCATACTAGATGCAAGATTACCCTTTCCGTCCGATCAGCACAAAACAGCCGAGTGTGATGTCTCTTCTGAACGACAATGTAAGTTATTCCTGGTTGATAGTCTTTCTCCAAACTGATGCAGGCTTCTCGGATTGCTAGTAGTTCGTAATATAACACCTAGAAAAGTCGAAACAGAAAGACTTCAACTCCGTCCCTTTTCACAGGCCTCAACGCAAGGTAACGCGTTAGTCCCAAGCTTTCTCGATCCTCATTTCATAGATAACTACACGGGCCTTCTTACTGTGTCTTAGCAATTATCTGAGGACGGTCTTCATTACAATCAACGTTTCTGCCTCCATCTACAGTGAACGGCACACAAAGGAAACTTTAATAGAGATTCTGACTTTAAGAATTCTCAACTAAGGTTTTTAGCTGGATATTATATTAAGAACAACACAGGGTTGGAGTTAACTGCGGCATGAGATCACAGACCACCAACCTGTCTAAACTGTCCCTCTGAGACGCCATCCCGATAAAAGATTATCCGAGTAGGCTTGAACCGGGTTGACTTGTAAAACTGAATGAGAAGTTCCCGGACCATCGAGGCCAAGTCCTGAATGATCTCCTGCCGGGGTCTCTGAACTCTTACTGTGGCACAGTATCTGCTGGGGTGTGCATCCATGCTACCTACAACCTAGGTTGGAAAAACAATAGAAACTCAGGTAAAAGAAAACTAAATCGATTTCATTGACATTTATATTTTGCTACAATCTTAATGTTTATCACCATTCACTTTGAGAATAATAAAAAATAGATTACTCTTAGTAAAGACAAGTATACAATATGACTCCCCAACACGGAGTCAAAATGACTTTCCTGTAAGTAGGCTGCACATGACATTTAGCGGTTGGAATCTAATCTATACATGCTGCTGATCTAAGCCCATAAGCAAAGAAAAGAAATGACATCACAAACCAAAGAAGAGGAAGAAAATAAGTAAAAAATAAAAATAAATAAATCAATAAGGACGGGCTGTTGAAAGCCTTGGTCTCTCTATATACAGCATTGTCAGGTTGTTCCCGTTCCTCCTTTGGCCGTATTCGCCAAGGCTCAGTCTGCACCCTGAAAGGCCTCTATTCTATGCTCTCTTCTTGTGCAGTACGAATGGGCACACAATGAACCAACAAATGCCAGCTAAACCCCCAGATTTACCTAGCAGTCGCTAGACACTTGTGCTTTCCGACCTGGCTTAAATTAGGCACTTTAGCTGTGGACTGCTGAGAACCAGCAGGTTCTGACTTGCTTACAGAAAACCCTGATTTTCTCCAATCATCTCCTTTATGCATTTCTTAGAATCTACCATTCTATCTCAAGTTTCCTATCATATACAAATTCCATTAGGAAAATGTCCACCAATTGTTAAATCCTTCCCGTACCACAAAAGCAAGCATCTCTTATGGGACACTAAGCTCTGTTATCAGTACAGTTTATCTAGCCCAGTGGTTCTCAACCTTCCTAATGTCAGGACCCTTTCACATATGTTGTGGTGACCCCACAACCATAAAATGATTCTCGTGGCTACTTCATCACTGTCGTTTTGCTATTGTGATGAATCGGGGTGACCCCCTCCATAAGGTACAGGATACCTTATAATGAAATGTACACAGATCGAGAGTTAGACAACCAAAAAGGAAGAACAAGCCTGGAATCTGTCAAGTTCAAACAGCTGAAGAAAGTGAGTAGTTACAAAACCGAAGCATTTTATGGCAACAATGTGAGTGAAAATATGAACAGAATACAGCCATTTAACCACTTCAAGAGGTAGAGTATGGTCAAGAACTGACAGTGCTGACGGGAGAAGCTCAAGCTTCGCTGAAGATGACGCGGAAAAGGCTCTAGGAATGGACAGAACCCCAACTGAGCCGCTTCAAGAAACGGACGCACCACTACCAGTTCTCACTCATGTTTGCCAAGCAAGCTCTGCCTGACGGACCCACTGGAAGAGGTACATGTTTGTGCCGATTCCAGAGCAGAGAGCCACCTGAGTGGAGAACTGAATGACGCAGTCTCAAAAATGGCTGCAGCTGCACAGCAACTGGGAATTGCCACAAATTAAGTAAAATTCAGAAAAAGACATGGAGTAAGGGCTATCACTGTTGATGTCAATGACTATTGGCAGAGAGAGGAGAACACCAAAAGAGGTTTAACTGTGTTTCAGTGACTACACAGAAGCATTCTACTGTAATCATAGCAAAATATGGATAATTATGGGTAGCGTTGTGAAAAATGGTAATCCCAGAACACTTGATGTGTCCATAATGAGACAGTTGTCAAAACGGAACACAAAGATATGACATGGTTTGAAATCAGGAAAAGTCCTTTCACCAAATTTATTTAATCTGTATGCTGGGCAATTAATCCGAGGACCTGGATTATATGACGACGATATATAGTGACATCATGCTTCGAGGAAGGCTCACTAACAACTTGTGGTATGGCAGACACACAACCTTACGTGCTGACTGTGAATACGATTTGAAACACTTATTGATGAAGATCAGAGATTACAGCCTACTAGACACTACAGGTGTTATATATCAACATAGAAGAGGGAAAAAAACCCCAAAAAGTCTCAAAACTGGACCAATAACAATGCTGTGCATGATAAATGGAGACAATACGGAAGTTGTTAAAGATCCCATTCTTCCTGGATTCACAATCAATGCCCATGGAAGCAATCGTCAAGAAACCAGACGACAGGGGGCATTAGCCAAATCTGGGACAAACATTAAAAGGAAAAGATGTTACTTTGATAACTAAGGTGCAACTGACCCTTATGGTATTTCCCATTTCCTCATGTGCACGCAAAAGCTAGACAATGAAGAGGAAGAGTGAAGAACCGACAACGTGCACCGCAGTGCTGGCAACGAATACAGCGGCTCTGCAGACCGCCGGAAGAGCAGGCACATCTCTGCTACAGTGCTCCTACAGCTACAGTGCTCCTTCGATGCGAGAATGGGGAGGTCTTTGTCGTCCTGGAGACATGTGATGAGAAGGGACTGACCCCTGGAGACAACAGGCTGGATAAAGGGTCAGGGGAAAGGAAGACCCTCACCGAGATGGAGTGGACCCAGTGGGTACAACAAAGGGTCCAAACAGCAAGGCCAGTGAAGGCGGCACAGGACGGGCAATGTCCCATGCACACAGGGTGTCTTTGAGACGACATTTCCTCCTTTTTTGACTGAATTGTCTTGACGGCACCTAGCAACAACAGCAACATGGACTTTGCAGCTCTCAAACTAGTGAATAAATATTCTTTAAAGAAAACCCCACAGAACATTTATACATGGTGAGTATATACGGCACAGAGAAAATATCATTTAATTTTACAAGTTGAACTAGAGTGCTGACGTGCATCTAAGCTCCCGTCGGGGAAACCTGTCTGCTGACACTCACAGCGGCAATAGAAGGCTTCTTCCCGTCACCAGCCGGTGGGTGAGTGACGTCTGCGCCCAGGAATATCACCGGTTGCTGGAACACAGAAGGTCTTAAACACATTTTTCAAAGAGTTAGATAATTCTTTACGAACATTTTTTTCATGTTCACTTATGTTTTACACTGTAACAACACAACTGCAAGTTGCCGACAGAGCACAGTGTCTCTTACAGGTCTGAAGTACTGACGACTTTACCTCTTACTTCATAAGCCCCCCTCAATGGAATAAAAATGTCACCATGGGTCTATCAACGTGATGAGGCAGCTTCTTTCTTGAGCACTGGTTGTGGTGGATGCAAAGGCAGCCTCATAATGGCTCAAAACTTTCCTACCTCACTCTACTGGCGCTTTAAACACGTTTTATTGGCATATAACCCACGCATCATACAATTCAATAGTTTAATCAAACTCTACCAGTTTTTAATCAATCTTTCTTGACTGGGTTTTAAGATTATGTAGTTTCTCAAAGACAAAAAGAATCATTGAACTTTAAAGTGAAGAGAGCCTTTCACACCCCTCCTTTGACCAAAAGGATAGATCTCTATTTATTAGAAATAAGGTAATTAGCTTTTACTTTTAATTTAAAGGTGTGTCCATTAAAACTCAAAGGTATGTCTTTCAGTTCTTAGATTTCTTGATTAAAAAAAAAAAAAGCAGTCTCCAGCAGTCTGACATGTCTGGGTGATGACAAACTGCACTTGTGAGCACTGTCTTTTGTTTGTGTGCACCTTATCATTAGTAACGTTCCAGCCCATGACTTTCTGATATCCTACCTGTAAATTGATATGTAATATTTCCAATCCCAAAGACAAATAAAAGATCGGACTTATAAAGATACCGATAATAAAAGGCAATAAAAATGAAAGCTAAGAGAAAAAAAGAGTTGACTTATGTCATTACTGACTAGGATGAGGTCACGAATGGAGATACTCACTATATTCAACTCCTTTATGAATCTCATCTTTTAATTAATAGGATGTGAAGCAGAAGCAACATAGATAAAAAGGCTCGTATCCCAGACACACAGGGCTCCATCTTGAGTCTAATGGAGTGGTTCTCGACCTTCCTAATGCCATGACCCTTTAATATACAGTTCCTTATGTTGGGGTGACTCAAATCATAAAATTATTTTTGTTGCTATTTCATAACTGTTTTTTGCTACTGTTATGAATTGGACGACCCCCGTGAAAGGGTTGTTTGACCCCCAAAAGGATTGTGACCCACAGGTTGAGAACCGCTAGTCTAATGCCATTTTGATAGACTGATCAAGGTTCTTAACTTTTTGAGTCCCAGTGGTTTCAACTACTAAGAGAGAATAGTAATTATCTGCCTGGCTATCAAAAGATATAGCGTCTGGGGTCTTAAAGGCTTGAAGGTAAACAAGCGGCCATCTAGCTCAGAAGCAACAAAGCCCACATGGA